CTAAACATACATGTAACAACCATCAGGTGATCCATCTACTCGTTTACCAGCTTATTCCATTAAAAATGTTGTACTATATCAGACTAACTTTAATTACCATTAAGTAGGCATATTATAATAAAATGTGTGTGTTCTTATTATTGGTTTTATTCCCTTAAAATGTATTCATACTACTATAGTATTATACACAACTTGAAATTAACTTCTCTCAACGGCTCTGTGGAGATGATATATGCGATACATGTCCATTCGCAGCACACATCCATTCATGCTCACAAACTTTCGCATTTATAATGTTAGTAGGACACAGAGCTTCTAACAGGAATTGTCACCGTCTTCTCAAATTATCCATTTAACTATAGTTGTCACTTGGTAGGGATACATCTGAGTCTGAGTCTGCAAAAACATAAGAAAAAATGGTTAGTAATATTGTCCAATATTATGTCATATCCAACAGCCATGATACTCCAATTCAGGGTAATGAAGAGGGAATATAGGAGGGTGAATTATCAGCCTCCTCTCAATTAGAGGGTTTCACTTAACCTGGACTTACTTGGCAGAAGTCGTAACCTCAAAGGTTCAGGTTTATTAGAGACCCGGAAGATTTATCGGGTTACCGTAGTAGGGACGGGACTGTGTTTAGTCCGTCGCTCCCTCTCGCCTCGCACAAGGCGTGAGAATCATTCGATGATTTTGTCCCGAAAAAAGCATGGTGATAAATGTGTGTCCTACTCTATCGAAATATCAATAATCCTTTTATAAACTACGTTTGAAAAACCAACTCAACCCACTTCTACCCCCACTTTTTTGAATTCGTCTAATTAATATACTAAAACCTTCTCCTACATAAGTGTAACAAAGCTACCACAGATGGTGGCCATTAGGGCTGATGCCCGATACGGAGCTGTTGCCGGGGCTTCAGCTCGAAGAGTAGTAATAGCAACGGGGTGGGGTTTAGTCCGTATGAATCTGACACTCCCTCTCATCTAACCCAAGGCAGGGGCAAGTCATTTAATAATTCACCCCTCTCAAAAAAAAAAATAGAATAACAAACACTTTTTTGAAAACCGCATTTATAACGGCTCTGACAATCTTGAGGTAATCGTACATACATACAGGTCAAACTGAACTGACCTTTTTTTAAAGTCGTTTTAAAAACAAATACTTTTTTGTTTAAATACCTGAGTTTTTACTCGGCATACGTTGGTCATTTTCTTCGTTTAAAATATAAGCATAAGATTTCAAAGCTTCCATCTTGTCGTAGTCTACATCGGCTTGTGCTTTGACAATCATATTTTGTAATTTTTCTTTAACAGCTTCAATTTCATTTGTCGATACATCCTCATCATCTTTTACCGGTGGTTTTTTTAATTCAAAGTCACTTTTTTCTTCTTCTTTTTCGAGTACTTTTTTAATTACCTTACTATTGACTAGAAAGTATGTATCTGATCCTGCTGTCTCATCCTTACTGTCATCGAAATCATTGAAATCTGCGTCTTTGTTTGAATCCCTATCTAGATCAATTGCACGTTCTTTCAGATTTCCATAAGATGAAGCTAATATTAGATTTTTGTAATTTCTAGTCGTTTTTTTATCTTCGTTATTATATTTGATTTTGTATCCATTTCTTTTGTTTGCTTTTAACACATAATTGTTAATGACTGGTGTCATATCTCGAACATACTTTGACGTTCTTTTAAATGATTCAATATTAAGTCGAGAAGAGAAACGTTTTATGATGTCATCAACTTCTTTTTTCTTCTTATTCTTTATTTTTCTTTTGTATTTGTTTCGTTTGTGTAATTCTTTGATATATTGTGATTTTGGTTTCTTTGTGGTTGTTTGTACTGTGGATTATAAGAAGTTTACAATATGTGTGTTTTGATTATTATGATGGCGTGTGAACACTATCTCGCCTGATGATACGCGATGGTGGAACATGCCTGAATCTATTCACTCAGGGCTTGAAGACAACCAGAGAAATATAGACTGTGGCTAAGAATTCTACTCATTAGAGGTTTGCACAAGAAAACTTGGAGTGGAACGCTGCGTTTGATTGGGTGGAACATCTACCAATAACAAAAGGAAATATTTTGGAAGTTAAAACTAAGTAAAGTTTCAAGTGTTGTGGAAATGTCTATACTTAAACATATCGATACTTGTGAGAAGTTATATTAAAAGGCAAAGTAATCAACTTATCTGAACTTACGTTCAATATTTAGAAGTTCACCAAGAATTTTAGTCCGTAAAGGGAATCTAATCTTTAAGGCGTAGTTGATAGAGTCGACAAGCGTTTGTCTGCGTTCTGAACGACTGAGTCTTCTGTATGGTCTTATGAAACTGTCGAGTATACATACACAAACCTCTTTTGCATTCTTTGAACCTGGAATTTGTTAATTATGAGCATACTAAGTTGACCATTAAGTAACATCAAAACAAACATGTTAAACGGGTTCAATGACCTCCATTCTACCAATCAAGTCCTTTCAATTGATTGATATCAATTGATTGAATTATTGATATAATGGAGGTAGTTGTGGAAATAATTACATTATATTGAATCTTCATCGGGATGAAGAATGTGTACGAAATATCTGATCGATCGGTCGTCAGGAAGGAGGTAAAAATCCAATTATTTAAGACGCTAATCAACAAACGGGACAAGCTGAATAGAGGTAAAATCGTTTAAGGCACTGTTCATACCACACGTATTATCGGCCGCTGACAATGAGCGCGCGTTATAGTTCATCACTTTTCCATTATTCACACCATACCGACTGTACCCTGTTACGTAGTGCGATGTCGACAGTGAGCGTACTCACAGTCGGTGGCGGACAATACGTTCGGTGTGGACGATGGTTAACAAAAACAATACGTTTCATATTATTATGTCACGTTACGAGACGCCATGTCAAACTTACCTTTAGGATATGTTTCATATTCTGTTACAGCTTCAAAGAGTTCACCTCCCTCGTCTTCATTGTACAGCAGATCAGCATAGTCTATGATGGAGTTCACGTCTACTGATACAGCAGTCTTCCTGACTTGCAGCATGTGGTACATCATTGATGAGTAGCCTGGGAAGATGACAATTCCGAAGGTGATTCAGAGGTGAATTAACCTAGAGAGCGCCCTAAGCAAGCACCTCATTGACGTCCCTAGTTTATTTAGCTGCCGCCACTCTATGGGCAGTTGGGCACGCGCGTCTCGCGGCGCCCCTAGACATTTGTCTAGTTTACCTTAGCGGTATATTTCACCCACCAGGACACCATGGCAGCGCAATCAGTCGCGCCATCGTTTTGTCTGTAACCTACCAATCTAGACAGCACACAGACACCAGAGTCGCCGCACCACACTGCGACGGTAACAGACTCTAATGCTCCCGCCTGAGCTGGTCACGCCGCTAGATTGGTAGCGCAACCAAGCGCACACCATGTGCATAACTTTCTATAGAGCTGTATACATTTTGTTGGTAGCGGCGACTGGTTGCGCCGCTATGATGTCCCGATGAAATATAGCCCTAGGGATAACGCTGCCCTGGTCCTAGCATTTACAGCTGGGGACAAGCGGCTC